GCGTGACTGGCGAATTCTAGTGTAAGGAATGCTTGACAATGTCGAGAGAAACAGATCTGTGTAATGTCGACCTAGATCTGGTTCTCTAGTTTAGTTGGGGGTCGACCAGGTTGGGAGAGGTAGATGTGGATGGGTACAAATGTGTGGGGGGGAATAAGTGAGGGTTGCGTTTTTTAGGTCAAAAACGCGGCCTCCAGATGGCAATTTCATCGTCAATTCTGGTCGCAATGAAATCGCGAGTCAATTTCGTGCAGGAGAATTTTTTTTTCGGGCTGCCCGAAATTTTTTTCCCCGAACGTCCAGCGTCAAACCGATTTGACGCGTCCAGCTGGACGCTGCCCTTCCAGGGCGTCAGGCGCAACATAGTACTTTAGCAGGCAATTCGTGGGCGTACTGCCAATCCAACTAACCAATCAGTGGAACCGTCCTCCTGTCGTTTCTAAGGAGCTGAGCAAGTCCAATGCCCTCTCTATGCATCCCGCAACACATTGCGGAAATCGACCATCCTTTGCCAAGGCACTCTGTTTCCAGATTACCCCCCATTACCTTCCTCGCTTTCCCCTCTCCCCGGTCGTCTGGCCATGCAGGAACCTTGAGAGGAACTCGTTCTATGGAAGCATTCCCTCCTCCATGGGCAGCATGGCAGAGCTCAAGGCGTTGTATGTACCGTGCCGTGCATACAGTATCGTGCTCTCAGTGCGCCTTGCCTCTCACCTTGTTTGGCACTCTATGTTCCTGACTTTCAAATAAGCGTCAACTTACCCGTACGCGCTTACACCTTTTCACAGACCAGATCAATTCACGACAAGACCTTTTCTTGCTAGACGTGTTTATTACTCCAGTTTTGTCTGTCATAGACGTTTCTGTTTTATACATATACGTAGACAAACGAAAGATGCCAACTAAGCTTTTCGGTACCATATTTCAGTGAGTGAGACTTTCCGCATGTTACATACAGTTACTCCAGTTACTATACTTGCCCCTTTGTTCACAACAAGGCCTGTACTTGCTATACCTGTTCTCGCTACTCCAGTTTTGTTTGTGTTGCTTGCAGTTCATTGGCCTCTCTTGTGCTGCCACACATGCCGACCCATGAGGCCCTTTTTCTTTGCTGGCGAGTGCATGCAGGGTGCTACGTTTCAACCAGCTGAGTGGCCCCATACCCGACTCCTTCAGCCGCCTGCACAACCTCTATCAGATGTGAGATGCTCCTCTGCGCCTGTGCTCCTCTGCACCTGTTGCTGGTGTCTCTCTTGAATCATTGCATTAAGTTCATCGCATATGTGGTACCGGAAAGATGCACACGCAATCACTTCACAGAGCACTGCCTTAAAGTGCTTGCTCGCAGAACCCCATCAATCAAGGTCGGACACTGAGCAAGGTGCTTGCTCACCCAAACATTGCAACATGGTATCTCATCACGTGCTGCAACCTGCCACATCTGGCCGTCATTCCGCTCACCTCACGCCTTCCGCTCTGGTCATTATCCCTGTCGCGTGCAGCAAGTGGGATAATAATCAGCTGACGGGGTCCATCCCTGATTGGATAGGAACTCTCTCTGCGCTCAAGACTCTGTGAGTTCTGTCATCCCAACTAGCAACACCTGTGCTTCTGCGTTCTTCGGGGTCGGCTGCAGTCGATGCGAGGTGAAGGAAATTCATTGCCCACTCGCGTCCACATGCTGATCGAACCTGCACATTCTAGTGATGGGTGGTCATGTTAAAAAAAAACCGAATTGGGGTAAACCGATTACTAAATAGTAGAGTAACTTTCATATGCTGGGCGTCACATGTGAGGGACAACCAACTATGGTGCTTCCATGTATATCCTTGCTGCTCACTTGAGCTACAACAACTTTTAGTCTTAACCTCTTTCCTATCGGTTTGAGGTTTCGTTCAATCACTGTTCACATATGAAGCGTGGTGCATGCTGTGTGTGTGCCGCAATGTGTGTGGTGCCTTGGTAGGTCGCTGACCTACAATGCACTGACCGGAACAATTCCAGCCTCTCTGGCATCACTGCCACGCCTTGACGTTCTGTAAGCATCGATTATGCAGCGTTCCCATCCATGTTTCACATCACACCGTTCCCATCCAGCGTTTATGTCGTTGTTTGCCAAGACTGCTCAGGGGTATCCATAGAGGTGGAAGGTGAAACCAAAGATGGGTCGATTGGGTTGGGTTGACCATTATCATTGGTTGTCCAGTCAGTGCTGGATGAGAGCTAATCCCGACCTTAACAATCGTTTCGGACCAAAGAATTGATTCGGGTCGGGATTGGGGGTTTTAACAACAAGGGGAATGAAACCCACCCCAACATCTTCCTCCGTACGTGTAACCTACTACAAATACGTGGGGTGCTAGGAAGTACAAACCCCTATAATTCTACGTGCTTCACACCATTCTCATCTCAGATTTCTTGGTGCCAACCATCTTTCGGGAAGCATACCTGCAGCACTGGGTGATATTCTGAGCTTGCAGTACCTGTGAGTCTCCACAGCTCATTGCTGCAAAGCGCATCATGTTTTACCTCATCTTCAGCCTTGCCCGTGGTTTTCCAAGAGGGTGGTGTCATCCCTTTGCTGTGAAATCGCCCACCGTATTTGGACCTGACAAAGTGTCTGCAACGCATAGCGCCAACTTATCCCTCCCCGCGCCGCCCCCCCTCTCCCTCCCCCCCTCTCCCTCCTCCCCCCTTGTCAATCGGTTTATTCTTTTCACCTTGTTCATTCATTGTTCTGGCCCATCCACCCTTTGAACCACAACCGTCCATCTGCTCGGCCCTTTTGCGGGTGGCAGGTGGCTGGGGGTTAATCAGCTGTCTGGATCCATCCCGACAGCCATTGGGAAACTCACCAAGCTGCGGGACCTGTGCGTACCGTAAAGATACAGTACAGTTGCACGGATAAAGCACAGCTTCCATCCTGACGACTCCATTTGACAACACCGTGTTTCACTCCCTGCATTCAAAGGTTACAAGTTGACACTGTTGCTGCGTGATGTGCGTTCGATGTGCGTGTGATGTGCGTGTGATGTGCATGGACCAAGCAGGGACGTATTTGGCAACCAGCTAGAAGGGACTCTTCCCAGCACCCTCCAGAGCCTCTCCAAGTTGGAATATTTGTATATGTCCCAACACCGCTTTCTTCAACCACTGTCTCTCTCTAATGTTTCTGATATGAGAAGGTTATTTCATGCATAGTTCAACTTTTCTCTTGACTCGTTTGCTCGCTCAATGCTATGGTTTCCGTTCCGTAACACACCAGTTCCCCTGCCTTGGACTAATCTAAAGCCCATCTTTCTGCAAATCCAATTTTATGTTGTGCATAGGGAGCCTCCTTGGCTCTCGGTTGGTGGCACTACACATTTTTAAATTGTCGGTACCTTCCGGAGTGAACCACCAGCTTATGCCCTGTGCTGTGCACATGCTCACGTGTGTCATTCCTTGCACCCTGCTCTCAGTTCGCTGTCGTTCAATCGGCTCTCAGGCCCCGTGGAGCTCATCATACGAGGCATGAAGAACGTCACTTCATTGTGGGTATCACCACACACCTGCGTACGTGCATAGTCCTAATTTTCTCTCCACCTCATCATTCTCAACCCCAAGCTTGCACAATGATCTCGACTTGCTCTGTTACCCGTGCATCACTGCTGCCTTGGCATGGCAGGTATATCAGCAACAACCAGTTCTCTGGGCGCCTGCCCAGCCCTGCAGCAGCAGGCGTGCAGGCGTACGCTGTTGCTGAGAACTTTTTCTCGCACGGGCAGGTCAAGTTCAGCAACTGCTCTGCGGTCACGTGGAACACGTATTTGAACTGCCTCACGCCTTACAATGGCATCTGCGGCCTTGTTTACACCCAGAGGTCTGCTGCAGACTGTGCTGCGTTCTGTGGGCTGCAGGTTGGTGCCACTGGCCCTCTGTGTGGGGGCCATGGCTACTGCTCTCGGAACACCGTTACTGGAGCAGGGGAGTGTGTGTGCGATCCCAACTACATGCTCAGCAGCAGCAACACCAACGTCTGTGTGCCTGGAGGTAAGCACCTTCTTTAAACCAGATGCTCCTGCACACCTGTGGTGCCATGCTACTCATTTTATATTTCTAAGCCTAAGATGAGCATGACATGAAGTGTTGCTACAACCATGCCATTGCAACCCTCCCCTCCAGCTGCACGCTCATCTCTGGCATCTGCCTTGGCGTACGTCTCCCTTGGGGGCTCTACCTCGCTGCTTTCCAACGGCTCCATTCTGCTCACAAGGGAGGCGGTCAGCCAGCAAGGCTCTGCCTTTGCCTCGCCTGCGCTGCGCCTCTTCTACATTCCTGACAAGCGCTCTCCCTGCGGAACTGAGCTGGGCTTCCGAGTTGCCTTCAGCTTCGCAATGATCCCCGGGGATCAGGGGGCGGGTGGGGAAGGCCTTGCATTCGTGGTGGCAGCAGCTGCTCCTGGCAAGGGGGCGAGTGTGGGGCTGGGAGGGGTGGGGAAGCGGAGTGTGGCGGTGGAGTTTGACTCGGTGCTGAGTGTGAAGCACAGCGACCCCAACGACAACCACGTGGGCGTCAATGTGGGCGGCTCACCTGTGTCCCTCACCTCTGCCACGGCCCCTCTCGTCCTCAACGACGCCCACACCAAGCACGCCTGGATCCACTACGACCCCACCAGCGGCGGCACCCTCCGAGTCTACCTCTCCTCTGACCCCCAGCAGCCCCCCACCCCCACCCTCACAGCAAGCGTGTCTCTCTGCTCCGTGCTCAAGCCCACTGCATCCGACTCTCTCTTCCTCTTCGGCTTCGTCGCCCTCTCAGGCAGCCAGCCCCAGAGACATGCCATTTTGTCCTGGAACTTCGTCACAGGTATGCTGCATTGCACCATACCCTTCTCCAGCTGTTTCTGGCTGCATAATTCATCTGCCTGCTACCTTTTTAAATTTCCAATCTTTATTTGTTCGCCTGGAATTTCCATTGCATTCGTGAGCAGATATTCCCTCTTCTCTGTAAGGCAGTGGTTACACTAGCATCGCACCATCGCTCCTGGGGACCGTGAATCTGGGGGATCTAAAACCCTGGTAAAAACGGTGCTTGAGGGGCTGCTGCCCAAGATTGCCATAACAACATTATGTACATTGGGAGCAAAGATGTATTCGGGTCAGATGCTGCAACTCCCAATTCGGGCCTTTTTTGCACTTGGCCTGCAAATTGTGACTCCAGGCCTTAACTTATCCACACATTCGTACCCATTCATCCGCCTGTAGCAGCCCTTGATGCTGTAGAAGTACTTGACATTGATGTACTTGCAGTCATCCCCTGGTGAGATGGTGTAGGTGCTGGTCCTGGAACAGATGCCCGCTGTGAAGTTGGTCACGCTGCCAATGCACACCTGCAGGCACAAGAGAGGTGGCGTGTGGGGTGGGGTATACAATGCAGGAACGAGCGGGGAGCAACAAAATTCTTGAGTGAATGAAGGACACAGCTTGCATGCAACATTACTAGCACACCGTCAACTCAACTCCGCACGACTTGGCTCTGGGTGCTACCTTTCACACGCTTCCTCATCACCATGTGCTCACCTTTTTATTCGGCTCTCAGCTGTTCAGCAACTGATTCCTCCTCACAGCCTCTTCCTTTGGCTCTCCTTCTCCACCTTAGAGCGTGTTCCTACACCTCGTATCAGACACACCTCGAATCAGCTTCGCGTGGTGAAATGTGTTTCAGCGTGTTCGGCTGCGGTTTGAATGCGTTTTAGTGCGGTTCGACGCGAATCTGATACTAGGTGGCCTGATATGAGGCCGTAGGAACACGCTCTTACACTCAATAGCAGTGCATGCAGCAAATTCTCCAGTTGGCTGAACTGCCTCAAGCACGCGCTGTCCGACACTCTTTTGGACTCTGCAGTGCAATTCCTTTTGGTCGTGTCGTCCCTTCTCCCTCCACTTGCAGTGTTGTCTCCATTGACGGCCTTCAGGATGCCATGAAGAACACTGAGCAGACAAGTTGCATGTGGAGTCTGGTTCTGCAACGAATGTGGTCTAAGATTGGCATGTAGCCATGTTTGGAACCATTTCATGTTCAATCGACAACCACATCTCCTGCTGAACACACCACAAGCTGGATTGGGTGCACACCCGACCCCTTAGTTAAGTCCTACGTTGACCACTGCACGTACCCCACTGCATGCACCACACTGCATGCACCACACTGCATGCACCACACTGCATGCACCACACTGCATGCACCACACTGCATGCACCACACTGCATGCACCACACTGCATGCACCACACTGCATGCACCACACTGCATGCACCACAGTGACTCACCTCAGCACCAAAGGTGGTGGCGGAGCGTGAGTGGTTGTTGAGGGGGATGAGCTGGTTGCAGTTGACGCCGGGGTTGAGGCGGTAGAAGTCCACGGGGCTGAGAGGAGGCTCCGCCAGCTGCCTGATGCTGTCGCACGTGTCGTTGAGGCGCGCTCGGTAGTACTGGTCGCACACCACTGTCACATTCGCCACCCTGGGGTCCCTCTCCAGGCACACGGCCTGGGAGGGCTTCAGGGAGGAGCAGTTGACAGTGGGGTTGAGCGCCTGAAATGCCGCCTCACACTCCGCATCCGGCGCCGCGACCCCACACAGCTCCACCTGCCGCGCCACCCCCGTGCACGTGTCACCCTGAAAGGACATGGGAAGATGAAAGGGTATTACAGAAGGAGCAACGAGAGGGCAATAGGGAGTGGCTTTCCACATACGTTTCAATACTATCAACCATTTTGCTGGTACATAGCAGAACATAAGATGCCCTTTGGTTGTGAAGCGAGGAGAATGTGGCACACTGTCTTTGCGCTGTGCGTGAATACACAGCAATGTACAGCTAGTCCCTGATTGGAACCCTCACAAGCAGGGTGGTGTAGAAGACAGAGCAGGGTTGCACTGTGGAGTTGACGAGCAGACTTGCGTTGAGGCGCAGAGGAGCCGAGCAGACGATGCCCTGAGAGAGGTGCAGGGGATGATGGTGCATGCATGGGATGATGGCACATGCATGGGATGATGGCACATGCATGGGATGATGGCACATGCATGGGATGATGGCACATGCATGGGATGATGGTGCATGCATGGGATGATGGCACATGCATGGGATGATGGTGCATGCATGGGATGATGGCACATGCATGGGATGATGGCACATGCATGGGATGATGGCACATGCATGGGATGATGGCACATGCATGGGATGATGGCACATGCATGGGATGATGGCACATGCATGGGATGATGGCACATGCATGGGATGATGGCACATGCATGGGATGATGGCACATGTATGGGATGATGGCACATGCATGGGATGATGGCACATGCATGGGATGATGGTGCATGCATGGGATGATGGCACATGCATGGGATGATGGCACATGCATGGGATGATGGCACATGCATGGGATGATGGCACATGCATGGGATGATGGCACATGCATGGGATGATGGTGCATGCATGGGATGATGGCACATGCATGGGATGATGGTGCATGCATGGGATGATGGCACATGCATGGGATGATGGCACATGCATGGGATGATGGCACATGCATGGGATGATGGCACATGCATGGGATGATGGCACATGCATGGGATGATGGTGCATGCATGGGATGATGGCACATGCATGGGATGATGGTGCATGCATGGGATGATGGCACATGCATGGGATGATGGCACATGCAGGGAATCGACTATCACAAGCATGCGTTATGCAGGGATAAAGGAGAACCAAGGATACACATGGGAACCAATGCGGCATGTTTGCAGCAGGCGGCCTGGTAGGTACCTTGTTCTGCTGCGTGAACTGGTCCAGTGTGAGGGCGAATATGGGATGCACATGGGAGCACCACACGTTGCTCTGCTGCACTGTGTACACCCCCCCTGCATCCCCTGCATCACCATGCCACTCACAACCAATTCCCAGCACAAGTCAGTGGGACTTAGAAGTGGAACATGAGATGCGATAAGAACAATGAGGAAGCATGCACGGTTCACTGCTGCACGCATGCGGACCATTTGAATGGTGGGTGTAACCAAGAGAAAAAACAGACAGTGACCAACAGAAGGGGACTGTTATGTTACCAAATGTGCAACATTGCCCGGAACAGAGAAAAATAGATCAGGCAGCAGCAGGGGGTGGTTACCCGGAGCACAGGAGGAGAGAGCAGGTACCCGGAGCACAGGAGGAGAGAGCAGGTACCCGGAGCACAGGAGGAGAGAGCAGGTACCCGGAGCACAGGAGGAGAGAGCAGGTACCCGGAGCACAGGAGGAGAGAGCAGGTACCCGGAGCACAGGAGGAGAGAGCAGGTACCCGGAGCACAGGAGGAGAGAGCAGGTACCCGGAGCACAGGAGGAGAGAGCAGGTACCCGGAGCACAGGAGGAGAGAGCAGGTACCCGGAGCACAGGAGGAGAGAGCAGGTACCCGGAGCACAGGAGGAGAGCAGCAGAGGGGTGTTACCCGGAGCACAGGAGGCGGTGTTGGCGAGGGTGGTGCCCTGGATGAACCCCGGGGGACACACACAGGAGTAGCTGCCCTTGCCATCGTTCACACACGTGCCCACCACACATGGGTTGCGAGTGCTGGACCCACACACGTCCACTGGGGGCGAGGGGAGAAGAGTGGGGCCGGCAATGGGGTATGCATGGACATTGTCAGCGGGCATCGGGATGTGCATGGGGAGGGCATCGGGATGTGCACGGGGAGGGCATCGGGATGTGCACGGGGAGGGCATCAGGATGTGCATGGGGAGGGCATCAGGATGTGCCTGGGGTGGGGAATGCATGCTGTGTGCATGGGCAGGGCATGTGGTGTGCATGGGGAAGGCATGATGTGGGTATGGTATAAGGATATGGGTGCAGGCATAAATAAAAACATACATTGGCCAAGTGCAGGTTGAAGTCTAGCTAGCGGGGTTGTGCATTTCAAAGCAGAAGGACCCAACCGATAGGCTGAACAAAAAACTCCATTAAGAGCAACTTGAATGGACACACTAGCAATGCCCCCCCTGGTGAGAAATACCATAGGCACAGGTGTACGACCCATCGGTGTTCTTGACTTGAGCAAAGCGGGCGTCAGTGCACTTGCAGCGATTGCTGGTGCCCTTCTTGCTGCAGTTATACTGCCCACACGGGTTGAAGGCGGGACCTTGAATGTTGTACTGGAAGGAGCGTGACCCACACGGATCAGCACTGCCTGCTCATCACATCAGGTGGGAATAGGGTGTGGGCACACGGCAAATGTGGTATGGTAAAGACAGAGGGGAAAATCACCAGCTGCGAGAATATGGATGCTCAAAACAGCAAGATATCGTGTCAGCCGTACTTCTGACAACAGGAAAGAGGCCCGGGAGAGTGTTGATGCCGCAGATGCCGTCTCCACTGCGAATGTCCATGCGCATGTGGCCCTGGTCGCCCCAGGCTGTGCCCCATGAGTTGCGGATGATCCAGAAGGGCGGCAGCACGGCGGAGTTGGAGGGGTCGGAGCCCGCAGAGAGGTAGCCCACCACCAGCACCACGTGGTTCAGGTGGTTGCTGAAACACTCCTCGTCCGCATACTTGCCTCTCTGCCCACACACACATGATCACAATACACATGGAAACATGGCATACAACAAAAGGCAGCTGGAAAGAGATACTGTATAGTTCCGGCTATAAGACCCGGGGGACTCTCTACAAATGCTTAAGAATATGTTTGAGTGGACATTATGGCGGCAACAATTTTTGAAGACCCGGGGTACACTTATCTATCTGTTAGCAATCTGATATTTAGGGTGTACGACCCAATTTGGGGCGGGGGGGTCTTTATTCGTAAAGAATTCGCGCAGATTTCGCGCGCACGGCGCGTCCGATCTGTGTTAGAATACAAGTTTGACACAAATGAAGTGTCAGAACTCAATTCTAACACAAAAAGCGTGTCAGAATTCGAATTTATGCTAGTAAAAGCTGACGCACAATAGCAATAATAACTACTGTATACAGACAAGGTGGGTCTTATAATGATAAGGGCTAAATGGGGGTCCTCACAAAACCTGCCACAATAAGAGTCCCCCTACCCATTCAAGAGTCCCGGGGGACCTTCTTACCGGCAGGTCTTTTAGCCAGAACTATACGGTATGTGCAACATGTCATAAGCAGTGTTGAGCACAATCTTGCCTCTCTGCTCGCACACACACATGATCAACATGCCCCCACCTTAGGAGTCGATCCAAAAAGGTGGGGCCGGCCGGTGGTAATGGCGGCATGTCTACTAACCCGCCATGAGTTCTTCACGGTAGGCTACTCCAGCTCCTCTTCAGTGGGCGAACCAATGAGTTTGTTACAGACTCGACCCCATTATCTTTTAACAACAGAACGTCCTAATCTCTTCTCAATTCGGATTTGTAGCGCTTAGCCCGTCGTAGTCTTGGATGGAGGGGGGGTGTCTTACCCATCGTAGTCTTGAAAGGAGGGTGACTTACCTCATCGCAGTCTTCGAAAAAGGGTGCCTTACCCCATCGTGGTGTTGGAAGGAGGGTGCATTACCCCATCATAGTCTTGGAAGGAGGGTGCCTTACCCCATCGTAGTCTTGGAAGGAGGGTGCGTTACCCTATCATAGTCTTGGAAGGAGGGTGTCTTGTCATAATATATTTTATATATATTGCTGTATAATTGCATGTAGTTCTAGCTGTAGTGTAGTTATGCAACTGTCTTGTTTGGTGGTGCACCCTTTGGCTTGCTGTAACTCTTCTCTTAGTGAATCCCCTCTTTGCCCAATTCGCTCGATAGTTCATGTCACCACCACCCCCTTGCGTAGCTAACTAAACCCTAGCTATGGCTACTAAGTTCTAGGCCCTATTTTGATATGGTATCGAGCAAATCGATCTTGGGCCCACCGTTAGCTTCCCCTAAATGCGCCACTCTGCTGCCCGTCGCACGCCCCGGGCGCGCGTCGGTTTTCTGCCCGTCGCGTGCCCCGGGCGTGCGTCGATTTCGTGCCCGTCGCACGCCCCGGGCGCGCGACGGTTTCCTGCCCGCCGAGCGCCTCGGGCGCGCGTCGGTTTCTGCCCGTCGCGCGCCTTGGACGCGCGACGGTTTCTGCCCGCCCGCGTGCCCTGCTGTCGCCCGCGCAGCTCCTACCCCGCCCCCCCCGCCTCCCCCACCCCCCCCGCCCCCCCTTCTCCTCCATCTCCCTGCTGTGCGTGCAGCAGTGAGGGGAAGGGTATGGGGGTGGCGGGTGTGAGTAATCAGCTGCCGCCCCTCCTCCTCTCTCTCCCACTGCCGCTGTGGGGGGGGGAGGGAGGGTGTGGGGGAGACGAGGGAGTGGCGTTAGGGATGCCAAGGGGTGTGAATGGGAGTTTTGGAAAAATGGGGGAGGTTGAAGAGGGGTGGCCGCCGTAAAGCCAGCAGCTCCAGTCGCCCGTGAGCCCGTTGCTCCAGTCGCCCGTGAGCCCGTTGCTCCAGTCGCCTGTGAGTCAGTTGCTCCAGCCGCTCGTCTAGCCGCGGAGCAAGTTACTCCAGTTGCCCGTGTGCCAGTTGCTCCAGTTGCCAGTGTGCCAGTTGCTCCAGTTGCCCGTGTGCCAGCAGCTTCAGCCGCCGCCTACCACCTCCTCTCCTCTCATAGTCCCTCCTCCTCCTCACTTCCCCTCTCCTTCTGCTATGCCTTGCAGGATGTAACACTTCAGGGAGTGTTTTGCACATGGCTATTCTTGCATGCACTTAGGAGGTGTGTCAGAATATATTTTATATATATTGCTGTATAATTGCATGTAGTTCTAGCTGTAGTGTAATTATATAGCTGTCCTGTTTGATGGTGCACCCTTTGGCTTGCTATATCTCTTCTCTTAGTGAATCCCCTCTTTGCCCAATTCTCTCGATAGTTCATCTCACCACCCCTGTGCATAGCTAACTAAACCCTATCTATGGTTACTAAGTTCTAGTCCCTATTTTGACATGCCTTACCACATCGCAGTCTTGGAAGGAGGGTGCCTTACCACATCGTAGTCTTGGAAGGAGGGTGCCTTACCCCATCGTAGTCTTGGAAGGAGGGTGCCTTACCCCATCGCAGTCTCGGACGGAGGGTGGCTTACCACATCGTAGTCTTGGAAGGAGGGTGCCTTACCCCATCGTAGTCTTGGAAGGAGGGTGCCTTACCCCATCGTAGTCTTGGAAGGAGGGTGTCTTACCCCATCGCAGTCTCGGACGGAGGGTGGCTTACCACATCGTAGTCTTGGAAGGAGGGTGTCTTACCGAATCGTAGTCTTGGAAGGAGGGTGCTTTACCCTATCGTGGTCTTAAAATGTGGGTGCCTTACCCCATCATGGTGTTGGAAGGAGGGTGCCTTACCCCATCGTAGTCTTGGAAGGAGGGTGCGGACGCCTCGATGTGCACAATGACAGGCTGGCGCTGCACTGCCAGCATTAGACCAAACCACCCGTAGAATCCCGTGCGCTCGATGCCTCGGATGCCATAGTACTTGGTGCTTGCCTGTAGGCAGGAGTGAGGAATACGGAAAAAGACAGTGATTAGGGAAAAAAAATCATTGATCGTGACGACGATCCACAAACAAGAGTTACTAGCAGCAACACCCAAACATCGATACGCATCGTAACTGAAATAGCAGATGAACTCACCAACGATCGTCTTTGAAGAGCCATTTGCTGGGAGTACACCGCCTGTTCCACCAAGCCCTTGCCCTGCGCGGTGGCGTTGAGGAGGAACTGCAGCGCCTTGGTGGGCGAGCCACCGTCGCAGTTGGAGGAGAGGGCGAGGCGTAGATGCTCCACCGACAGGATGGGTGGCTGCGGCGAGTTGCTCGAAATCCTGTGGGCTGCCTCCACCGCTGCTACCACTGCGTATGCCCAGCAATCACCTGCATGGCATGAGAAGGGTTGCTATGTGATGGTATTCATGCACTCTTGTGTAAAGGTAGCTTCTGCAAGAGTGCTCAAGAGACATGCACAAGGCCCCCATGGTGGGTTCGGACACAAGGTACATGAAGTCCTTCGGTGTCACATGGCCTGTGCTCACTCCCACCCACGAACTTGGTTGATAGATATGCACAAACGGTGTGCAGATCTTCTCATGGTGCATGATGATAAGTGTCCTATAATGAGTAAAACCGATCAACAAGAAACAAACGTACAAAACCTTCATTAAGTACATTGGACTAGGACGGGTTGGATAGATGAGAGGTAGTTGATAGGAAATCCTAGATGGATCGATCCAAATCATGGAGACGATGGATGGATATGGTTGGATAATGATAACTAGGGTGTATATGAAAAGGTCTACTACACCCAACCCAACCAAAACAAACTCACTAAAATTTTCTATGTTGCAGCCTAAGAACATGAATGGCTGCATGTGCTCCTCTCATCTCAAGAACCCCCTCTTCTCACTTGCTCACTATGTCAAGTCTCAACTCTGATCTACATCTTGCAGCTATTGTGCTGTTCATGCCTTGCAACCATGCCACTCACCGCAGCCCCTTTGGTTCTTGACAGGCCAGGCGGATTCAGGCAGGACCCAGGTGCTGTAGGACTTGACAGTCCACGCGGGGCTGTTGTCCTGCGCGGGGTCGAAGCCCGCACTGGCGTAGTGGAAGGCAGCGTTGAAGCCCTGCGATGAGAAGGAGTCCTCGTCCAACACAAACCCCAACGCCAGGTCTGGTGGGAGTGAAGGAGAAAGAGTGTTGAGAATTTGGAGAAAGTACGAGTGCTGGGAGTTGGGAGGAAGTCAAAATGAAGAATGGGGTGAAGAATTTGGTGATCGAAATAGGCTCAAATCTGGTGAGAAAGAAAAAAGCAAGCGTACTCACTTGAAGGGTCAAAGCGCGGGTTGAGAGGAACATCTGCATCCACAACAGACAACCACAATGACAGAGTGGTACGGACGCAAGCAGTAGCAAAAAGCCTTGATAAGTGTGGATATATTGTAATTTGAACTGTTGTTCCAGCCTGGCCCACATGTGCAACATGAAGCCTCACTTCCTACATTACCAAGATTAACTAGCCTTGACCTCCACTTTGAGGTGCTGCTGCTAGTCTCAAAAGTTCAACCATACATATATGGCTTCACCACTTCACTAGATATCATCCTTGGACAATGACATTGCTCTAGTCTCTAATGCTTGTACCATCTTCTCGCTATGTATATTTTTTCCTTCTCATTGTGCCACGAAGTCCAACGATCCATTTTCTACAGCGACCAACACTACGGAAATGGCCTAAGATGCTATAAGTCAGGGGACTTGCATCTACTTTCAAAATTGAATCCTAAGCCTTGCACATGAAACACGTGCTCGCAACAAATAGCCTTATACCTAATCGACAGCAGAAAATGTGGTTGCAACATAGAATTGTGGGATCTTTCTATGTGCAATAACGGAAGCTCGGAACTCCTGTTGCGTACATTAAAAGGCATAGAGAGTTCGTAGGAAGGTGGGCCTTTTTTTATACCTAATTACCCAACCAAAGCGACAAAAACGTTGCATCGGTTAGTTTTAGTGGGCCAACCAAGAGCCGAAACACGTTCGTGTTCGAGTCGAACAGCTTACTTATCGTCTTTCGCACCCGAGTGTTCGACCTTCTGGTGGAAAACTCCAACAACTACTTCGCAAAAAGTGTTCGATTCGAACCAGGCATGTTCGGTTCGACGAGTTTGAAAGGTGCTCAGATTAGTTCTCCCTTTGCTTACCTGAGAAACAAAAACCTGAGAGGCACACACGCGAGAGGCACACACCTGCAGTGAAGGTCCAGTTGAGGACGGAGTGTGCTTGTGGGCCAGCCGTGGACGAGGCTGTGAAGCCGACATAGAATGCGGCACTGGACGCCTTGGGCTGCAGGATGGAGCAGAGCGACACTCGAGCTCGAAGCACAGGGGTGGGGGGCTGGTCGGGGTCGGAGGAGAGAAAGATTCGGAGGGTGCCGCCGCTGGTGGGGTCGTAGTGGATCCAGGCGTGCTTGGTGTGGGCGTCGTTGAGGATGAGAGGGGCCGTGGCAGAGGCGAGGGACACAGGTGAGCCGCCCACATTGACGCCCACGTGGTTGTCGTTGGGGTCGCTGTGCTTCACACTCAGCACCGAGTCAAACTCCACCGCCACACTCCGCTTCCCCACCCCTCCCAGCCGGTCTGGCAGCGCCGCAGAGACGACAAACACGAGCCCATCCCCGCCCGCCTCCGCTTCCGGGTCGAGAGAGAAGGCAAGGGATACGTTGAAGGCGAGCTGGTAACCGCATGTGGCCTTGATGTTGAAGTAGGAGAAGAGGGGGAGAGGCGCGGCTGTGAAGGCCGTGCCCCAGGTGGCGTTGGCCTTGGGGGTCAGCAGCAGCGCGCCGCCAGCAGAGGTCAGCGCCGAGCCACTCAGCACCATTGGGGTGGCGGTAGAGGAGGCCAGCACAGGGTCAACTGGAGGGGGAGAGAGATGATAGATGGACATATGTGGCTTAGTGAAGAAGATCTAACAACAAGGAACCTGAGGTGAAAACCTTACTTGCAGAAGACGCGTCTATCGTCTTAGACGCTGGCGTCTAGACGCAAGTTTAGGCCAGATTAGATGCAGGATTAGACGGAAGCCCGGGGAGCCTAAAAAACAAAAAAAAACGGGGCATGGGGAGGGTGGGGGACATGTACGTAGGTCACAATTGGATCAAATTTTCCCCTTACCATAACTTTTTCCCTATACTTAGAGTTCACAAATGTCTTCACATCTCATCATACATAGTTCGGTTTCCTTGTCTCTCTAGCAGTAGCAAACACGAAAGATATTACTACTACTACATCCCTGCAATCACAGGGTTTTCGCTAAGGAACTAGCAAAACCCGAAAGGGTTTTGGAAAGAGAAGTGGAAGAAATGGGGGATTTGTGCTCCCCAACCTCTTGGCGGTTAGCCATAGAGGTTGGGTTTTCTAGATACTAAGCGGTGCAGTGAGGTTTGTGTTCAACTTCGGTTAAGGGGGAGGGGAATCAAATCAAATTTGCTTGGGGGGCTGGTTTCTATGGTCGAAATGGGTGGGAGGGGGTTCCAATGTCGCAAAATTGAATTTCGCTCCCTGCGTCTTTCGCAACTAAGGCGAAAAAAACATGGCGATGCAATCCAAAACTTGCTTGCTTACTCGTGTATGTGCACGTGTGGGGGTCATTGCGAGTGGAGTAGTGGACATCGCACACACACTCGCTCGTGCCACTGCTGTCATTCAAGAAGCAGTACCCATGCCCACTGCACAGAACTTCGCCCTGCCCCAGCCCACAGAACGCAGCACAGCTCGCGTTGCTCCTCTGCCGCTGCTGCGAGCCACATAGCAGGGTTGGCAGGCAGTTGTCAAAGAGCCTCAGGCTGACAGCAGAGCAGTTCTTAGGGTGGGTGGGGGCGGAGGTGAAGTAGTTGCTCTGGATGTTAACAGATGCCAGGGCCTTGGAGGCTGGGATGGGCACATCTCCTGTAAACTGGTTGAAACTCAGCAATCTGAGAGACAGGGACGGAGGGAGTAACGAGGGCAGTGATAGGATGACGATTCCCAATACACCTCATACAGTATAGCACCAAAACTTCGGACAACAATGTAAGGAAGGCGAAATGATGAGCTTAGAGTAAGCCGTGCTTACAAGTTCTTGAGCTTCTTCATGGGAGCCACGATGGGTGCGACGTGTCCCGACAGATACATGAACGACAGCTCCCTGCCACGCAGCGCACATGCAAGGCAAGGCAGGGGTATGCTTGGTGCCAGGTGAAAGAGCTACACAAAGAAAGAGGCAGCAAGCCATTGGCAGGCACAAACAAGAATGAACCTGCCTATTCCTGTTACTTCATATTCGTGTGTCGCTTAAAAGCACAACCGGATTTGTGGTTAGCCAGTTTGAAAGTCCAAAGTGCTTGGTTCCATGTTGCTGTAAGTTAATTTGGATTGAACATGGTTTGCATTGTGATTGCAAGCATTGAATAGCGACTCTGTTTCTGTTGTGTTGAACCACACACAGCACATCATGTGGCACATGACAACATGCCCATCCATTCTTGCGAAGTAATGTCTCAGCACGACCATCCGAAATCGAAACGAGCTGCCAATCACAGGTGGACGGATTTAAACGCGGACAGGAGCGGCTTACAGGTGCCAGAGCTTTTGCAGAGAGGTGAGCGACGGAGGCAGCAAGCCGTGTAGGCGCAGGTCACGCAGGGCACTGCGGGCAGGAGAGCACCGAGAAGGGGTGCGGTGCAGGGAGGAGGGGTTGGGTAGGTGGGGGGAGGACATGGCCACAACGACAATGATACCACTCGATCCTCACAAGCCTTACGCACCCCCTTCATGCAAGGCAGTGGGATAAAGGAATTCAATGGAGAAGAATCGAGGCTTGTCAGGGATTGTCATGGCAAGGAAGGGGAAGTGGAAGGCAGTAACGATGGCTCACAGTGCCTCCAGGTTCTTGAGGTTGCCCAGCGATGATGGAATGGTGCCACTGAAGTCGTTCACACCCAGCACCCTGCACACACGCATGCTCACACGGACACACGCACGCACGCACGCACGCACGCACGCACACACACACACACACACACACACACACACACACACACACACACACACACACACCATGTCAACGAAAATAGACACATTAATGATCACACATGAACAACCACAGCCACTTGATAAAAAAACTGGGGGATGGACACAAAAAGCAACTGAACCATGCAATGCACCCTGCCCTGCAATGCACCCTGCGTTGCAATGCACCCTGCATTGCAATGCAATCTGCTTTGCAATGCACCCTGCATTGCAATGCAATCTGCCTTGCAATGCACCCTGTATTGCGATGTACCCTGCCTTGCGATGCACCTTGTCGGTCATGCAATGCACCCTGCCATGGCCTTTTCTAGCTCACAGGCTAAGTTGCGGAAGACGCGTCTAGACGCAGCGTCAAAGACGCTAGACGCGCCCTTGGGCAGATTAGACGCAGGGATAGACGCAAGCCCGGGCAGGCCAAAAAAATAGTACGGGCAGCCAAAAAAACCTTCTATAGGCCATGGGGAGGGGGAGGGGAATGGGATGAAGACGACATCTGGGTATAGCAGACGAATTAGGCTGCTGGGACATTCATCGAGATCCAACTTCTAGATCTAACATTGACGCTCACAATTTCAAATCTCAAATTGGTTGGGTTTTCTAGATTCAGTGCGGTGAAGATCGGTAATGTTAGGGGGAATTGGTTGGTCACGAAATGGTTCACAAATCTGTTGGCTGCGAAGGATGAATTCCAATTTCGACCTAGCTTTCCGTTTCTCAATTTCTCCCACACCTCCTCCAATGCTCTTTCTAGAACGTCCTAGACTTTAGTCCAAGCTGCTAATACTATTATGGAGGGTGGGTGGGGCTAAAAGCTAGGTTTGGGGAATGTTATCAAGGTCGAAATGGGTGGGAGGGGTTGAAATTTCGCGCGCGCAATTTTTTTTTTCGGGCTGACCGAAAAAATTCCCCCCATGTGTCTAGCGTCTAAAGGTGCGTGTAGCGTCTAGCGTCTAGACGCTAGACGCAGGACGGTCCCTGCGTCTTCTGCAACATAGCTCACAGGTAGCGCAGATCGGTGAGGGCTCCCAAGGAAGACACGATGCTGCCCTCTAGTCGGTTGTACTCCAGGTGCCTGCAGTATCGCAGTGACAGTGATGGCCCTCCGTTAGTGCGCTACGCTACAGATGCTGTCCCCCCCACCCTCCCCCACTGCTATGGCACCCGCACTTGCATGCACCAGGACAAACGTGCACGGGAAGGTTGCCATGGGCAGCAGCCCAGCCACGCGCTGTGGCTCGAGGCGAGGACATGATGGGGAAAAAAACAAATGAGCATGTGAGATTTTCCATTTGCCTTGGTAGAGAGAGGCGTGGGGCAGGCGGGCGGCAGGCCTAAGGGGAGGGGAGGTGCTCACAGGCGTGTCAATCTCTGCAGCTGGCCCAGGCCCTCGGGCAGTGAGCCCGCGAAACTGTTGAAGTCCAGGGTCCTTGAGAGGCAGGGCAGCACAGGTGATGGGTGTGAGGCAATAGAAAGGACAATGAGGGCGGTCAGGGTACACTGGGTGGGCACGTGCACATGACATGAGTTGAATCATTAAGTAAATGCGTCTCTCACCAAGCATTCCCCTGGAAGCCAAGGAACGAATGCAGCAGGTGAGGAAAGAAGGCAGGGTGCGTGGTACTGGCACGGCAGGACATGAAGGTCACTGCTCACAATGTGTCAAGGTTAGTGAATGAGGCGAGGAAGGTTGGAAGAGGGCCCGAAAGGGTGTTGCGGCTCAGCCTCCTGAAAGGAAGCACACAATGACATTCACATTCACACGCATGTGGTGCTCTCCTGCTGGGCACTTGAAGAGGGAAAGGAAACAACACACAGCCAATGGGGCCCATGCTGCACATGGAATAGAAGGGAAAGGTGGGAGATGAGCAGCAGTGGCAGCAGCAGCAGTGCAATGCGACTCACAGGGCATGGAGCTCCTTTAGAGATGACATTTCCGTCGGCAGTGGGCCCTCAAAAGAATTTTCTCCCAGAGTACTGCATGAAGTGTAACACAAGGCACATAAACGGTTTATGATAATCCCATGGCAGTGCTGGAATGCCTGTACGGGACAAACAGTCTATTGTGCTTAAGGAATTAGCGGGGCGGATCTAGAGGCAGTATTACTGAGTTGAGAGGGCAAGCATGAGCACACACACAAGCTGGGAGCCTGCATTGCAGCCGGCATACATGTGTGCACGAATGCAGTGTAAATGCACGCCAGGTCGCCAGCTTTCCATTGCATGCGCCATAAACAGTGTGCTATGCTGTGGGTGGCCATATGTGCGGCATACGAACCAACGGCTCAACCACATTGCAATGGGCGGCTCACAGGGATTGCAAGTTGCTGAGCTTGCTGATGTCAGCTGGAATAGAGCCGGAGAGGCTGTTGATACCAAGGTCCCTGCAGCGAAAGGAGAGGACGCACACAAACGGGATGGATCAACAAGAGTAAGAGCTTCCAAAAGAGGGCATTGCACAGCAGCAAGTAATGAACCAACAGCTATTGTGCAAAATAGTAGCCAGAGCTGACAAGATCATGTCATCCGGATCCTGCTGGTAAATATTCTAGCTACAAGATGTCCACCTTACCTTCTCTTGTCATGACAATGGGTGAAACTGGTTCTATACATGACCACGAGTCGAGTCGAGTCAAGTTGAGACATTCGGCGCCCGCACCAGCGGCCTTCGCCCGCGCGCTTCTGGTGGCAAGGCACCATAGCACGACAATCAACTAGCAACGGAAGAGATACAACAATGGCAAAGACAGATAGCAGCCTAACTCTCACTATACACGCGGAGCGTGGCCGAGACTACAACCGGTCCGCCCTCTGCCCCTAGAGCGGTAAGAATGCCACTCATCGTCCACCACAACTGGCGCACCACTAACGAGGCTGTGCCGACGCGACGGCATCAGCAGGGTTTCCTTCCCGCATGCAGAACAGCGCTCAGACCCTGAGCTGACGACGTAACAATCCTGGGGAGAGCAGAGGACTGTTTGGGAGGAAATCAACAACTTCACCGCCAGCCTCTCGAAGCGTGGGTCTGATTCACAAACCCGGGAAGTGCTTGGCGTGGAGTGCAAGAGGGGCAGGCGAGATCATCCTACCTGCTGGGGTACCCTTCTGTACGGAGGGGCTTCGCGTCTTGGGCAGCCATGTTGGCCCAGTGGAAGGAGCGGCTGCATTCTTCCGTGGTCAGTTGGGGGTATGTCTTCGCCCCTACCGCTCATTGCTGAGATGGACCCCCCCAGCTGGCTTCTCTGCTGCCGACAAAGTGCGCATCACGGAGGCCATCTTACCTCGCACGCACCATGCCACTCTGCCTACTACCCCAAGCTGAATGGTCCTGCTGAATATTACTACAGCTGCACACCCTGCTTGACGCACGCGGGGTCCGACACCCAAGGGGAGCAGTGGAGGAGAACCAGGTATGGGCCCACCCAGGCTTCACTTCCACCGTCCTTGGGAGGGATAGGGCTGACAGACGCGGCCATGGAGGGTCGATACAGCAACCTCGCAAGATTCGTGCAGTGCAGGCGCAAGCACTCCAGGCTTGGCCTCCCTTCCTGGCCTTGCTGCACCCACCCTCACCAACGCGCTCTCCCACAACCAGCAGCTGCTGACACAAACCCGCTGCAGCTCTGGCAACGTGACTGTGAGGGGGCGTTGAGTCAGGAGGCAAAGGAGCTGCTCGTGACAGAGAGGTCAGCCCCAACAGGCTGCCTTCAATCAACACTGCCTGTCCCTTCTCGTCCAGGGCAACAGTTACGCCGAGCAGGCGACCACATCCAGACGTACGGAGCTGATCCCTCTAGCGAGCCACACCCAACGACTGCTATCCCTCTTGGGATATGGTGCAGGGGATTGGTTGTTAGCCATCCCCTACTTGCCCTCCCTCCGCCTCAACCCAGAGCACTTTGCCATGGCCCTGCAATTTCAGCGCGGGCTGCCCTTGCCCCACCAAGCTGCTGTGACTGCTGCAACAGTACCGAAATACTGGAGAAGCGGCCACCGAACCACCTTCTTAGCTGCAGCACAGGGCATGGGCGGACCAACACTCACAATGGCCTGAGGGACGAGTGCATCCGCATGGCGCAGGACGCGAGTAACATTGTGCACCAAGAAGCCACGACATTATGCCCGGTGGACGACCGCAAGGCTGACCTCGCCATAAGAGACCATGCCATGGGAGCGGTCTGGATTCGTGATGTAACCATCACCGACCCCATCAGCACACGCGACGAGGACACAACAAAGGGATGGCGATGGGCAGCAAGAAGATGGCTGCCAAGAAAGTGGACCACTACAGGAACAGGGCCGCGTACGTGCGGCTCTTCCCACTCGCAGTGGAGACCTACAGCTGCTCGTGTAAGGAGGTTGCCGCATTCCTCAAACAGGTGGCAGAAACGGCAGCCAGGCGGCACTTCACGCCAGGTGACCGAGAAACTGAAAAGCGTGAGCTACCACACCAAATCTCAACATGGCTGCCCAGTTTGAAAACCCGCTGGTGTGAGGTCCGGACGGGGCCCTGTTCCCAGGCGATTGCTTCGCAACCATGGAGCCAGGTTTGGAATTTCAATAGGGAAGTATATTAAAGGTAACATAAGTAGTGACTCACCTTGTCTAGACGAACTTTGCCTGCCTTTTCGGTTGCAACAGAAACAAAAATATAACACTACAAGGACCACTCGAGAGAGACATATCCGACTCGACACAATTGCCCAATCTAACTGGTTCCCCCCAGCAGGGTGTCTATTCCACCAAGTCCATGAGGAATGGCCATAAACCTCACAATTGGTTCCACCAAGGCCCGTCATTGGTCCTGTTCCTCACTGCCCGAGCCTCGTTCAAATCAAAACAGCCCTACTGCAGGCACAGCACCGGTGCAGGTAAGATCATCAGCAGTGCCGATCTCACATATATGTGAGGCTTTGCAACGTGAAGAGGGCGGAGGGCAGCAAACCGGTCAGCTGGCATCCAAACAGAACACTGCATAGAAAACGTCGCATCCACCAATCACCACAGGCACGGGCAGGAACAGACACAGATTCAGGGGGGAACGAGTGTGAAATGGGAGAAAAGCTGGAATGGGAATGGAATCCAAGAGACGCAGGGAAAAGAGATTTTGCAAGGGTGCGAGCGATGAGGGAATGAGCACGTGAGTGGGCTCACAGGTACTTGAGGGACTGCAGGCCGCTCAGCGCATCGGGAATGGGCTTCCCCAGAGGCTGGTAGAGGAGTTCCCTGACGGCACCACAGGCACACCCAGGCAGAGGGATTACCAGCATGATTAAGCAGGTGGTACTAGGCCTGAGCAAGTGCCTAAGTTGTGACACGGTTCAACCAACCTGGCTCCTATGGTTGGTAGACCAAAGGGCAGTTATGCTACCCCAGCTCGCAGCCAGCTCGTGGCTAGCTGAGTGGCAATTACAGCTCAGCATAACTCGACAGTAAGCCAGGGCCGGCTGCTTGACTCCCCGGCTCCTACACGGCCTTGTGGCACCATCCATCACTGCATGTGGCAGACTGGCAGTGGCGCCCACATGCCCTGACAACAACCTTGAGTGGGCTGTGAAGGAATCCAATTCCGGCCACTCCATGCGTTCATACCCAGGTCCACTGCACAGAGCACTGCCTCTGCCTGCACCCCTGTAGTGTGGGAGACAGACTATAGCAAGCAGGTGCGTGTGTGGTGAGAGATGGCTCACAGTTTGGTGATGAAGCCATCGGAGGTGCATGCGATGCCCAGCATCTGTGAGCACACGGTCCCGGTGACCCACGAGTTGCTGAGAGGGAACGTGTCCCACTCGTCCAGCAGAGCCTTCAGCACCGCCTCTGCATGTGAGTGAGGCCAGAGGGTGGCGAGAGATTGAATGGAGCGAGAGAGACAGTGAGTGTGGGATCAGGGGGCGGGGGAAGAGAAGGGAGGAATGGCGAATGATAACGGCCATGCAAGGGACCAGCCAGGAAAACGGGCACAATTATATTTTCAGAACAAACAAACAAACAAACAAACAAATCAGAACGAGTCGAGTCCAAAGAGAGGAGTTAAGTGTGGAAATTTTTCAAAGAACAATTAGTCTCGCATCCGGTCCGGACAAGAGACGTCAATTGTGGGACGGAAAAAAACAACGCGAGGAGAGGAGAATGTGACAGGGAAATTTATGACACTAGCACTGTTGCAGCCACTCTGGGAAAAGTGTTACAGTATCTCAAACAACTTTGAACGTAGAGGAGCAGTGAGATTGCGCCCAACTGAGTTCCCCATTTTGCCCACGACAAGAAAAGCTAGCTCTCAGAGCGAGTGTGAACAGCAGCGACAGGCAGGGCGGCGGCAGTGACAGCACGCATGAACGTACTCTGGGATTCCTGTATCCACTGGGCGGACACGCCCCCGCACGCACACAGCACTACCAGCAGCGGCAGCAGCAGCAGCACACAGCGACGCCTCCATGTGGGATGCAGCACACGGCACATGCCGTGCGCAGGGGCTGCTCCCTGCACCGCGGGAGAGCACAAGGGGGAACAGGGGCACATGGGGGCACAGGGGGGCACAGGGGGGGCACAGGGGGGCACAGGGGGGCACAGGGGGGCACAGGGGGGGGGGGGGGGGGGGGGGGGTTGAAATGAATTTCAGAACGACAGTCCTCGGTCAACTAGCCAAAGCAGAGTGGCGGAACCATAGAGGGGAGGCGGGGTGGCACAGGGGGGCACATCCCAAGGACGCATGGGGGCACATGGGATGGGAGCACATGGGGGCACATGGGATGGGAGCACATGGGGGCACTTGCGGGCACATAAGGGCACATGGGGGGCAAACACATGGGGGCACATTGGGGGGGTTGAATTGAATCTCAGAGCCAATCTCAGAGAGCGAAACACAGAGGGGGAGAATCTCAGTGATCCCAAGGCCGCGCATTTGCCGTGCATGCATGCCTGCCAGGGCACCACTGCATGACACGCGTCCACACAGCGCTGCTCCCAGCACGCATCGCCGCTGAGGCGGTCAGATGCTAGCGGGTGCCTGCGAGGCGAGCGCGTGTGTGTGGGCGGCTGCACGGGATAGGAGAAGCGCGCACGTGACGTTGGAGCGAGAGGACAGGTGAGGTGCGGTGAGACACACGGCACTGGCAGGAGAAACGGCATGCGCATAACCATGGGGATATGACGCCCTGAGGGGAGAGGAGGAGGGCGGGGAGGGGGGGGGGGGGCGGGGAAGAGGGGGAAGCGGGGGAAGAGAAGGGACGTGGGGGAAGAGGGGGGAGAGGGGGGAGAAGGGGGGGGAGAGGGGGAAGAGGGGGGAGAAGGGCGGAGGGGGAAGTCCTGCTGCGACTCCTTCCGAGGTGACTAGAGCTAGCGCGAATTCAAAGCAATGAAACAGAAGGATGTATGGAGGGCAAAAAGGAATGGTGCCACGAAAACACGCTGCGACACATGCTGACACGCTGCTATTCAGGCCACCCTCTTTTCGAACCGTCCCAATGCCAGCAGAGACAAGGGAGGTGCGCATTCGGGTTCGCAACGGTTGCGCAACCCTGTCTGTTTCGCCATGACGGCAACAGCATGCTTTGACGCCAAAAACGTGTCTGTTTTGCCGCGCGTTTCCCAACCTGAGTATGTTGACGAGGTCTACAACGTGGATTTACGAAGGCCATCCTCTCCTCGGCCTCTGGTTCGCCGTACGGCGCGCTAGCTCGCGAACTCCTCTCCAACGATGCCGTGTATTTCTTCGCGCCGCGATTAACGACATGCGAGCCACGTGCACTAGTGGGATCGCGTGCAAGCCTACGATGCCGGCAATCAAGGTTTCACATAGGCGGACCGTGATGAGGCATGCGATAGCGTGTACCAGACGATGTTTTTTTCAGGAAATTCTTTGAAGTGGAATGTGGGTCGTGCTGTTGTTAGTGAAGTCTTGTCAAGGGGAGGTGTCACTCATAGCCCTCGTCTCACCTCTCTTCCATATCTTTTTTAGGGTTGCTGTTGCATTTCAGCCAAGGCCCACCCAAGTTGTTTCACCCATGGCACCGCTTCAGCACTAAGGAATTTTCTCGGCATTCCTTACGGAGCCGACTACATCGCGTACAGCAACAGCCGATTGTTCGCCCGTTACTGCTAACGGGACTTCGCCGACTTCGCGCGCACTGTTTTGCCAAACCTCGCACTGCTGGCATGGCCGTGTCGGCCTACGCTTCGGGACTAGCCCGAGCCTCGCTCCAGCGTAGCACTAGCAAGCTCGCACGCACCGCGTTACCGTTTTGCATGTTTCGCGTATAAATGTTCGCTCATGCCTTCGCTCACATTTTGTACTCGTTTGACACCTTAGTGCAATTCTCGCTACCTCGATTCATTGCACCCGTAACACTTGGTATCCGAGCCCCTTTCTTTTCGGACCGCGCATCTCCGCACACCAAGAAATCAACTTTTGATTTTTCACTCGAAGGGACTTACGCACCTTAGCCCCTAGGAGCCGCTGCCCTCGCGTTCTCTCGTAAACGCGTGCAGCCACGACTGCGCCTAGACTAAGACGAGCCGACGCCCTTCGTCATGGCTGAAATTATCGACGTCACCACCCTCACGCAGGAGCGTTTGAACGATCTGCTGCAACAGCTGCACGAAAGCTCCGAGGAAATCGCGGCATTAACGGCAGAACGCTCATCGCTGCAAAATGACCTCACGAGGGCACAACAAGCACAATCTCAAGCACCTGGCACTCCGATTCAACCTGCACCCTCAACATCACAACACGGGAGTGTGGGGCAACCCGCGAGCGCGGCCAGTGATGGCGTCGTCCGCCCCGACGGAGACGACGACCACGGCACGACACACCCCAGAGCGACGCATGCGGCCCCAAGTCGGCCTCGCGTCACGATTTCGGCACCAACCCACGATTCGGGACTGCCGTCACCGATGCCGCTGAAGCCGCAGCGCCCGCCATGCTTTGACCCGAGTCAACGGGGTGGTCCTACCGTTCAGGCGTGGTTATTCACAATGAATGTCTTCTTCGACGCCAACTACGTCTCGGAGGACTCGGCAAAGATTCGATACGCCGTGTCGCTGCTTCGTGGACCCGCCATGGACTGGTGGCGCGTCATCGTCACGAAGCCGACAGACTACGCGACACTACCGACACGGGAAGGACAAACCAGACCCTGGGCGCCGTCGTATTTCGTGGAGGTGCCCCAGTATCGCACGTGGGACGCGTGGTGCGCAGGTCTGCGCGCTCGATTTGAGCCAATTGCGGCTTCGATCGCGGCGCGACAGAAGCTCCGCACTTGGCGCCAACTCGGTTCCGTCCAGGATTACACGAGCGGATTTCGGGCGCTATGCGAACAGGTGGGCTACATGCATGAGAGCGAGCGCATCGACCGCTACATCGGCGGCCTGAAGCAGGACATCGCTCAGGAAATCCAACTTCGCGGCGTCACCGAATTTCAGGAAATTCTCGCTATGGCGGAGAAGCTCGGCTTCGTTCGCCGACCGAGACCGGGGTCCTACGGAAACAACAACTGGGGACATCGGCCTCGTGGGACGAACGAGAGCGCCACGATACGCGCCGTCGCCGCAAATGCCGCTGCCGCACCGTTCAAAGGGCGCTGCTTTGTGTGCAATCGGCCGGGGCATCGCAAGAGCGAATGCCCGGAAAACGCTAAGGGAAAGGGGGAAGCTGAGCAGCAGACACAGACCAAGCAGCAGGGAAACGCTGGAAGTTAGTAGCAGACGGGCCCTCTACTGACAGGTCACGCCGCTCGCCCGACCCAACCGACCCTCACCGAGTGATTATGCCGGTTCACGCAATCGACCACACCCGGCCGAATAAGGAGGGTACCGCGGTAGACAGCCCTATACTGCTCAGTGGGAAAATTGGGACGGACTTAGTTAAAATCTTCGTAGACGGGGGAGCCAGCCACAGCCTCATTAACACGGCTACAGCACGAAAACTGCGACTGCCACTGGACAGATGCTTACCTGAGATCGACGCACGACTGGTAGACGGCACGCCGCTGGCAATACGGGAACACGTAGACCGGGTTCGGATTCGATGCGGGGTTAACTTCACGTTTAGCCAGGAAATGCTCGCAACGACCCTCGACGGAACCGACATTTTACTTGGGCGTGATTGGCTGCGACGACACAATCCGCGAATTGACTGGACGACGGGTGACTGCACCGTGCGAGTGAATGGTAACAGCATCGCCTTACCTCGCTGGGGCTCGCCTGAGTCTTCGTCGGTGCGTGTCAATGCGATCACGATGAAACGCGCTGTAGCGGCCGGAGCTGACGTGTACGCGGTTGACATTCGGGAAGCCGAGGCAACAGACAAGGGAGGCGATTTACAGAAACTGCTGACCGACGTACCGAGTGATCTGGCGGCACTGTTAACACGGTACAGTGACATTTTCCCGGACGACTTACCGACGGGACTGCCACCTCAGCGACCGCACGATCACAGGATAGAACTGGAACCGGGGGCACAGCCAACAGTACAGCGACAGTTCCGACTGACCCAACCTGAACTAGACGAACTGAGGAAGCAGCTCGATTACCTGCTCGAGAAGGAATTCATTCGCCCTAGTTCGTCGCCCTTCGCCGCACCCATACTGTTCACACCGAAAAAGGACGGGGGTTTTCGCATGTGCATAGACTACAGGGCACTGAACAGGGTTACCATCAAATCCCGTTACCCCATCCCACGAGCTAACGAACTGATCGACCAACTGCGCACAGCCCGGGTTTTCTCGAAGATTGACCTCCGGGGAGGCTACCATCAAATCCGCGTCAACCCACCCGGCTGCCCTAAAACCGCATTCCGAACACGCTACGGATCCTTCGAATACACTGTCATGCCATTCGGACTGACCAACGCCCCCGCCACCTTCCAAATGACCATGAACGAAGCATTCCGCCCGCTTTTAGATAAGTGCGTCATCGTTTATCTGGACGACATACTGATTTACAGCCCTGACAGAGCACAGCACTTACAAGACATTGAAGCAGTTCTTAAAATCCTGAGTGAGAACCGCCTACTGACCAAAGCATCTAAGTGTGAGTTTTTAATGTCAGAATATTATTCTTATTGTTCTAGCCTGTAGTGGGGTGCTCTATAGCGAGTACAACCCTTCTAGGGTTTGCTATTTGTATCTGTGAAACTATGAGCAGAGGAAATGGATTGACTAAGTCAGAGTTGGGTACAAATACAACCCTAGCAAACTGTACCCCATATGTGCTACCCCACTATAGCCTACAAACATGCATCAGCTATAATAATCTGACACACCCCCATAGGCAAAGTGGGGGAGAACAAGGGGTCACAAGACCAGTCAAGCAAAGCAAAACAAGCTCAGGGTGGATCACAAAGTCACCACACAGTCCGAGCACAAGAGCAAGGCCAGAGGCCAGTTCACATGCAGGAGTAAAGACATATATATAAAACTAGACAAGCAAGAGCAGGTATATATATGTCAAAGTACAAGTAAAGTCAAGAAGAGAGCAAGTGAGGCAAGACAGGTACAAGACCCAGCTGGGTACAAAAGCGCTGATGGTCGCAAGGCGCAAGTGCCTTGGTGAACACATCAGCAGTGTTGGCCTCAGAGGCCACGTAAGCAAGTCGCAACTGACCACGCTGCTGCAGCTCACGAGCAAGGAAGTAGCGGAGAGCAATGTGCTTCGTTCTGTGCTCCAAGCGCTGCTCTCGACACAAGGCCAACATGGCCTTGTTGTCTACGTACAGCACTGGAGGAGAACGAGGCAGCTCTCCAAGGTCAGTCAGCAGGTAGGTGAGCCAGCGAAGCTCCTGTGCAGCCATGGCCCCGGCGTAGATCTCAGCCTCACAACTGGAGCCGAGAACCGAAGACGAGCGAGTAGACCGCCACGAGACAGAGCCGGAACCAAGGCTGAAGGTGTAACCCTGTGACGACCGCTGCGTAGCCTGGTCGTCAGCCCAAGAAGCGTCTGCGTGCCCAGTAAGGACCACTGGACTCCGCCCTCCAAGCACTAGCCCCATGCCCGACGTACTGCACAGGTAGCGCAATACCCTCTTCGCTGCAGCCATGTGCTCTGGTCGGTGTCTCCCAGGAGCAACATAGCGTGCAAGGATGCTCAGAGGGTATGCAAGGTCAGGTCGAGTGCAGGTCATCAGGTACATGAGGCAGCCAACAAGCTCTGCATACGGACCACTCGACTCTACGGACTCATCCGAAGGCAGAGCTGAGAGTGAGTGGCGAGTAGGCAGAGGAGTGGCCTGAGGCGAGGAGTACGTGAAGCCGAAGCGCTGAAGGACCTGCTGCACCATGTGTGACTGAGTCAGGGTAATGGTGCGGCGTGCTCTGTCCCGAGTGATCTGCAAGCCAAGGTAGCTGCGCAGTTCACCCAGGTCTGTGCACGTGTGTCTCTTCAGCAGCTCGGACTTCACGTAGGCGAGTCCAGCAGTGTCCGCTGTGGCAAAGACCAAGTCGTCGACGTACACGAGGATGTAGAACGGCGGCAGGGAAGTGTCGGTGCGAAGAAACA